TGCCAGGCTTTGTGGGGCTGCACCTGTGGATTTTGAACTGTGTGCCCTGTTGTTTTTTAACATCCACTGTGAAATGGTGAGAGAGATTGTCACGTTAAGTGTATCCAGGCTGTACTATAAAATCATAACAAGAAAGGCCAAAAATAAAAAAAATGAAGGAAAAGAATGCAGCAGCTCTTATTTGCTGTGAGCACAGTCACTGGGCATACTGTTACGCTATTTCTGGAACATCTTTTCCAAAACTGCATCCCCCCTTTTTTAATGAACTACCTGAAGGGTAACATGAGCGTGTCATATTGCCCGTCCACATGGCTGCCGGCTCCTTGTGCTTTCCTCGCTAAACTGATGTAATTAAGCAGAATTGTTCCCTTGCCTCCCCTGCAGCGCTTCAGTCCCGCAAAGTTTCTTCAAAGAAACCCCCAGCCTGGAACTGGTGCGGCTTTGCAGAGGGAAACGCCGCACTGTACTTCAAAGCGCAGAAAATCTGCAGCTGCCGGGAGCCCGCCTGCCCCAGGAGGTGTCACTGTTGGGACTGGCAGGGTGAGCTCCGGAGCTGCTGTTTGTTTTCTAAAGCCTGCTTTGACCGTGAGGTAGGAATTGACCTGTGCTACACCTCCCCTCCCCACCCCAGCCAGCCTGGGGAGAGGGGATCGCAGGTAAAATGAGCTGGTGGCTTCTGTGGAGGTGTGGGCATGTATGTAAGTGAGTTAAGATACTCAGCGTTCAGTTTTTTATTTTAAGAAATACCAGTTAATCCAGGCTGGTTACAATAGTTGCTTTCCCTGTTCTCAAAGTGCTGATGAATCACACCAAATCAGGGAGAATATACCAGGATATAACTTCTACTTTTTTCCTTTTAATACTCTTTGAGGTGAAGAACAAATGATTTTGTGATATTTGCTGAGTAAATGTTTTTACTAACTAATGCTCTCTCTTTAGATTTACTAAATCATATGCTCTAGGAAAAAAGTGCATACTTTTAGAGCACTCAAAGACTGAAAGTTTTCTAACCATAAATATAATGCAAATAATCTGCGATGCAGACACATATATATATGCACACACACAGTAACTTCAAGATCAGGAATTATGATGATGACTATTATATTTCATGGCAAAAAAGAAAAAAATCTTTGAAAGCTAAACATAGTTTTTGGAATATACTGCAGCCTGAGGTAAGTTGCTTCCATGGTTAATTATATTCACCATCGATGTTTTGCATTTTATTTCTAGTATCAGTGTCATTTGTTTCAGCCTTCAGCTTGAGGCTTTTCTTTACTAGATCTTCCAGTTTGCCCATTCTCTGTGGGTTTATGTGTCTAGAAGTTCCAGAGCAGTAAGGGAAGGACTAGCAAGTTGCATCTTCTGCTTGGCAGTTATTACTTAACCTAAAGGTTTGTGGTTGATATCTAGACATAAGAGTTCTAGGAATTAAAAAAAAAAAAGAAATGAAAAGTCATTTTAGTTTTAAATATCTTCAAACTCTCTTCATATTTTTGAGTAAAGGACAAAGCAGAAACTCTTATTTTCTCTCAGACAAACTGCTGATGTTTGCACAGAGCGCACTGACCATTGCTTAATGTATGAAATTTTACTTCCAAGAACACAGAGGGGGAATTTTAAAGTTCTTTGTCTTTTTGTTGTCACTCTGGACAGTCTAGAGAAGCAAGGTTCCTCCATCATTCAGTAACTTCTTTTTCTTGTGCTCTTGATTTAATTTATCTGAGCTCTGATGTATGTTTTACTCTAGTTAGGAGAAATGCATGTATAAAATGCCACATACGTACAAGAATTTTAAATTTAAATGGCCTTAAATCCTGACTTTAAGGGGAACCCTGTGCACAAAGAAAACTGATTACCCATTAATTTTTAGACGTATAATCTTAAAATGCCTCAAAATGTCATAGAAGCAAATACATCACAGCCAGGATAAATCTTTATAGTCTTCTTACTTTTTTAAAAAAGCAAAGTTATACTGTCTATGGTAGCTTCAAAAAAGCACAATTATCCTATGTTTTGCACAATATATTTATCAGTAATCCGTTCTGTGTGCGACTTTAAGATAAAAGCTTGCAGTTACTTCACTGCTTGCTTTTCCATGTCACTAACGAATGGAAAAATTGCACATTGAGAGAGTGGCCAGTAGAGGCCTCTCTAGATTTGCCTTATGATTAAGGACTCTCAGACTGCCTTGAATCAGATGCAGTTAGCAAAAGTACTTGAAAAGATTCTGCTGCGTGGAGCAGGGGGGAAAGATCACTTTTTAATGCCCTTTTAAGTTGCAAGATGTTGATTAATGTTGCCCTTTACATTAATGATGTTTCAAGTAAAAGAAAACAAATTTAAAATGGATAAATTCTATTGAGGATACATTAATTAAACAGAGACTTTACCATATGCTGTGGCTGGAGTGCTTGCTGGCCTTTCTGTTGTTGTTACCTGTGTAAAATCCACCCCATCCTCTACATGAATGCCCAAGCTGAATAGCCATTTGAATGAAGGCTTTAGTTTGATTCGCCATACAAGGGGTACTGTGTCACTGTGTTTTCTTTCTAGGAGTCACTAAGTGATTTCTATATCTGTTGTCATGGTGATATAGCAAAGCAGGGGAAAATGGGGGCAACTCCAGGCTTTCTCTACACCCTCTGCACTAAGAACTAAGATGTTGTTAGCAAGCCTATAAAACATTGGGCTTTATCTGAGCCTTCTTTTTGTTCTCTGATTGTCAATAAAACTCATTTTAAGGGTAACAAGGACATCTAAATGTCATCTGTCACAGTGTTAGAGAGATTAAGTTTGTTTAGGAACTTGTGCTGGACAAAAGGCCACTATTTGTTCAGCAGATACAAAGCAATGTTGGCCATCAGCAATCTTGATTTAGAAGGAGGCCACATGGAGCATCCAGGAAAGATCAGCTCAGTTGCAGGTGATAGTAAGAGGCTCCTTGACATCACAGCATTTTAAACAGAACCAAAACAAATATGTTTTTGAGTTAGGAGTGGTTTCATCGGGGTTTTGTTCCTTTGCAGGTTTTTTGTTACTGTCTGCATTGTAGACAGCGCATTACTGGAGAAGCTGCATAGACCTGAGGTAAGCAAACAGCCATTGACAGCAGACGACCTGTTTAAAAACATGACACACACACCTGATAGTCCTTGAATGAATAAGAAAAAGAAGGGGGAAAGGAGGTTTTTCGTGGAAAATCCAACAATAATAAGTGCTGCATTAACTCAGCATTTACTCAATAATGAGGCTAAATGGAAAGTACAGATTAATGAAGACATTGGTGTTATTAAAATCAAATCCTGTGGTTCATATGCTTTTCTTAATAATGAACATTGTGGCTATTGGAGAGGAAGAACAGGATTTTTTCTATTAATTTGGCACACATCCCAGATCTCATTCAACCAGAACCTATCCTGTGCAAAATGCAACCCATGGCCTTTATGTTCCACAGTCTTTCCGTTTTATATTTGTGTTAATCCTGAAAATAAGGCTTTTCTTTTTTTCAAATTAAAGAAAAGCAAAGGGTGATCTTTGTGCCTAGATATTAATTAAATAACATAGACCAGCTATGTTGAGTTTAGTACAAAGGTTGCTTGAAAAATGTCCCTAGTAGGGACATTTGATGGTGTTTATTGCACTGACACTGTTTTTGCTCCTAACGTTTGTGTTTGAATGGAAACATGATGTGTAATGCTGACTGAAATATTATATGGCTTATTGTCTGTTTAATGAGATTTGTAGTAAAATATCCCGATCTCATATCTTGTGAAGTAAAAAATAATGTAATCTCATTTGGTAAGATTGCTATAGTTCCAACACCAAACAGCAGGATTTGAGATGCAACTGAACAATGGAGTTGGCAAAGCTGAGCACTCATTTCACAATACACACAAAGAAAGCTGCTGGTTCGACATGTGGAAGGAAGCTGCATGTCTTACTTGGTGGTAGGTTGTTTGCATTGTGGCAGCACCAACTGCTTAGCGAAATACTTCCCGTTATTGTTGACCTAGTGTTTTCTCCAGAGGTCTGCAGAGTGAACATATGTAGAGCATGTGGTGTGGCATGGGAGAGAGATGTGGCCCATAGGAACGGCGTCCTTGTCCTTTTGGGTCACTCAGAAGTGAAAAGCATGAGGGAATGCTGCTGCTCAGTGCGGACCTTTGTCTGTAACAAGGTCTCCAAAATCAACCCATCAGTTTGGTTCTGCACCTGGAAGGGAGCAACCCTGGCTGAGGAAGTAAGAGCTCCTTTAGCGTGTTCTGTAAGTTTCCATTCTCTCCATATTGCCAAACTGCACTCATCAGTGAAACTAATCGTAAACACTACAGTAAATATCCCAGACAGAAGCCATGTCCAGTACTGGAAGGTGACTGTTTCATCCCTGCTCTGGGATAGGGTCAGAAGAACTTATACATGTGTAACTGTGTACAGTAAAACTCACTGTAACGTATTCAGCCTGCTACAAAAAATTTGCTTTCATTGTAGCTGAAAAGTTGTGTTGAAGTTGCTGCTATAAAGGATAGAAACCACCCTCAAATTTTACCATTTTCAGTGCATCCAGAGGCTGGGGCTCCATTCCTGACACAGAGGGAAGCCAAAGGGTGCCCGATGGGAGAAGACAGTGTTGCTGTCTTGTCTCTTTCTATATCACTATGTCCGGGGAATGCAAAATTGTGACAGGGAGCCTCTCTACCACCTACTGCTTCCTCCTGTGAAAGCGGCTTTCCCATCCAAGCAATTTACATGGTTTTCTGACCTCTCTGTGACCAGGCTCTTGCAAATTACTTACTACCAGGAGGCCAGAACCCAGGCTTTAGTATTCAGTATTGGAATCAGTTGGCAGGGGGAAAAAACATACTGCAAAGATGCTGTGAGGGGAAGGAAAAAAAAAAAAAAAAAAAAAGAGGGGCTTAGAGGCTTTTTCTTTGCAGAATCCTCAATGTTTAATGGCCTGCCACTCTCCTGTTTTCTATTGTTTTTTAGGTATGTAGTTCAGCCATGCCAAAGACTCCACAGTCTGCACTGAACTACAAAACCAGTCCTGGTGCAGAAGCTAGGAGGTCTTGCTCATCTTCTTCTTGCACTGACGGCACTTGCTGTGGAAAAGGTATTCCCTCAGTTTCCCTGTCTAGAGCAGGAATTTTAGCATTCATGAAACATTCATGGTACTTTTTGGGAACCGTGTGCGAAGGGCAATTTGATGATGTGAAATGCTTTCTTACTGTGGAGGAAGCTCAAATGGAAGAATAAGTGAGTGATGTTAATGCCCAGCCAGTTCTATGTGTAAATTTAATTTTTATGTTTCCTTCCTCTGCCTCTGCAGAGGCAATTTTGTGCAAGTTCTCTCTTTGACATCATTGGGACAGCTAAGCCCTACTCAGTGTGAGAAAGGGATGCAGAATTAGGCCTCAGTTAGGAAATGTTTTAGGGCCATCAAAAGCCTGACCCCTTCTCTGCCTTCAAAGGACATGTTGCTAAGTATTATTAGACTGTTCAAACTGGGACACTCATAATAATGCTGGGAGCAGAAAGTGCTCAGCTTCAATAGACATTTTGCATCGGTAAGGTCTCCAGGAGCAAGCGAGCAGCCTTTGAGCTTCCCACGTGCTGTTGGGAATAAGTGGGCAAAGGTGCCTGCGAGTCTTTAGGTGCATAGAACTGTTCATCAGGGCCTGGATGTTGATACCTTCCTTGCACTGAGAAGCAGCTGTGTTATATAAGGTGTTTCGTTTTTTTTTTTTTAATGTGAAGTAAAGCCCGAAAGAGTCAGTCCTGTCAGCTGGTGGGTGCCTTCAGCATCCATTAAAGTGAGCAGGAACAGAGGGCATTTGCCCCTGGTTGGCAAGTGTAGACCTTTAATGTTAAACGGAGAAATTATCTGGTTTTACACCAGAGACTTGAAAGTTGTCTGAAAATTCTACCTATTATTAGAGCAGCTGCTCAGAAAGGAAAAGAGGAATAATAAAATTACTTCCTCAATTTCTTATCTGCCGCAGATATTAGATGTGGTTATATTTGGTAAGATGATTTCTTTGGTAATGCTTGTTTCAATATGGTTTCTGCTTGTGATTTAAATAATAAAACAGCAATTAAATAACTATGCTACAAGGAGAAAAGTATTGTCATTTATTTGAACATAATGGAGCTGGAAAATATTTTAGTAGTAGTATTACAATGTATGATTGTATGGGATGCATGACCGTAATGAGTTTAATGTTGCATTTAAAAAAAACAGTTCAGTTAAAGAAGTCATTGTTTTTATAAAGTTTATTCTTACAAGTAATAAGAAAAAATTAGCAAGATAGCAAAAAAGAGTTTTATTATATTTTTATAACTGTTCAGTTACTGTGAATTGTTAAGATTTGTAAAGATCTTTGAAGATGAAAAGCTCTGTGTAATATTATTATACTGGCTTGGAGAAAGTAAAAGGAAAAACCCAATTCATCCTGTTATAATCCTTTTAGAAATTTTAACAAATCCAATAGCTTTCAAGTAGTGGAAATATTTCAGAAAGTGCCACCACCACTACTGCTGTTGCTCCAGGCTGTATTATCACATACCATAGCGTGCATGGAAGCAAAGCTTAACTAAGGTCATTCTAATGAATTTTGAACAGTTACATGGACTTAATTTGACTTTCTGTCCTGTATGAAAGGCAACCTCTTCATGCTGCAGCACCCAACAGAAAACCCTGAGTCGTCTTATCAACCTCATGTGCATTTTTCATCAGCTGAAAGAGCTGCAAGTAATGCTCAGTCTGTGAACTTGGTGCACATGGGCTTTTCCCATCTCCAGTATAGGGAATGAACAATGTTGTGGGGGCTTCTTTTTAGCCTGAAAGAAGCTGAAAATGCACTGTCCACACTTTCTGGTTTCATCCTTTCATTTTTCTTACCAGATTTGCTTTGCCAGCTATGATAGGATAGTTTTTTGCCAAATTCCTTTGATATCCACTCCCTCCTCCCCTGCAGCACAAGAGAGCTGTGAGATTTCAGCAGCATTCCTGGAAGCCCTTGCCCTGCTGTTGGTAGAAAAGATACCTTGAAATCCTGATCTCAGGAATTCCTGCCAGCTGTGGGTATCTGGGAGCTGGCCTTGAGCCCTCCACACCTCTAATGTAGGAACTCTACCACCGGGAGCTGCTTTAGAATCATAGATAGAATCACAAGGCTGGAAATTACCTTCAAGACCATTTAGTCCAACCATCCTCCCATTACCATTTTTACCACAAGCTACTAAACCGTATCTCGTAGCTCCTCATCCAGATAATATTATTTTAGACCCAGATCCTTTCTCCCACTGAGTTCTCTGCTGGGTACTATGAAGAGTGTGTGAAGCCTTACTATCTTTTATAATCATAGAACCTTTAATGCTGGAAAAGACCACTAAGATTATCTAGACCAGCAATCAACCCATCACCATGATAAACACGATGCACAGCCTTGGGAAGGAGGTTGGTGTGCCTGAAGCTAGGATAAGTGCTGATGATTTAACATCCTCTCCAAATATTAATTCTTTCTATTTAGTGTGAGTATTCTTTATTTAAAAGTTTAATTGCGGTAAATTGTTGCTCTCAAAGAAATCCAGCATTGGTGAGCTCCAGTTAGTTGGAAATTAGAACTTCTGTTCTGCATGAAATAAAATACAAAAATAAAATTATTATAGAATCTTTAGAGGTGGAAGAGACTTTTGAAGGTTATCTAGTCCCTGCAATGAACAGGGACATTGAAGCATTCCTGAGATTTATGTGTGTGTGTGTGTGTGTGTGTGTGTAATATGTTAATTCATGATAATTAAAACTCTTTATTTTGATAGCATTCGAGTGTTTCTTATCTAATATCTGCCATACACAGCAAAGGAACTTGAATCAACACTAAAAGGTTTAAATTAAGTGTTTTCCTTTCTCTGAAAAAGTTTGTTAGATTTATACATTTGTAAATGTTATAAATACTTTGCTTCCATTTTGACTGCATGGCACTTTGATGGAAAACAGAAAAAAACACTGTCATCCACCTACCATAGTTTAATTATGAAACCAAAATAATAAGTTTCTCTTTATCACTGTTGCGTTTGCCATCTTTTCATTTCAGTAAATCCCTTGTTCTTGGGTGAAGCTCCTAACCTTTCCCAGCTATTCAGTTTTCATTCTTGGATCATGCCCTTCTTATGTGTCTCCTTTCTAATGTAAATAACCCTGTGCTTTCAACTTCTCTTCAGGTGAGGATTTTTTTTCTAGGTTCTTGTCTACGCGTAATTATTTTTTTTATCAGCTCCCCTTTATCTCTGCATTATCCCTTTTGAAAGAAAGTGATCAGAAATGTTTCTGCATTCTTGAAATGGTTTTAACGTTCTAAAGTCATTTCATACTTTTATTTTCACTATCACATTTTTGCATCATATTTGCTGTTTTTTCAATTTAATGATATTATTATTGATGTCCGTGTCATCCATCTCCCTGAAGGGACTTGAAGTGAAAACAATCTAAAGTTCACTAGAGGGGGGAAAAATTTTAGAGCATTGGGAAAATAAAAAAACACAACATGGATATTTTTGTTACAATGGTACCTCATCACACATCTAGCTTACATTTCTCCAAGGGTGAGCCATAGTCATCCCTGATTGCTGGAGGTATTTAGCAGCTTCTGTTTTTGTTTTAAATTCCAAAGCTTTTCCCTGTTTTGCCAATAGGTTTGCAAACCTTTTGACAAACCTATGCCAAGGTTTGCATAACGAATCCAGGTGCACTCTGCATTGCTTTTGATTCTACAGCAAGAGCGGCATGTAGCTGTAATTTTATTCAAGTCCCCAGCACCATTCTGTTTAAATTGCTCTGCATTTGTGTGCTAGCTTTTTGCAGTTCACCTGTCTGCACATTCTTCAGGGCATACTGAATATTGCCAGGCTGCTAGGATGCTTAATGAATTCTTATCAAAATGTGATTGTCTTCCACTGTCTCACAGGAAATTGCAGTAAGACTGAAAGTAGAGTGTGTTAAGGCACCTGTATTTGAGATGTGTAAGAGTTTTGCTTAAGCGTTCAGTTCTGTTAGGAATCTGGGGAGAAGAAAGGCTATGAACAATACACTGCTTTGTCCATTTTGTCCCTAGAAATCCTCCTAGGCCTTTACCTTTGAGATATTTGAGGTGTCTTATGATTTGCACAGCAGAACCACCAGCACCTGTCTTTGAGTCAGTACAGCCAGCCAGTAAAAACAATCCACATTCTACCCCTCAGAGTAGCCTCAAATAAATAGCATAATAGATTTTTCAGTATTGTTTACAATCTGGTACACTGGATATTTGAGCACATAGGCAGCAGATGCATGACGAACCCCCTGGTAGTAATGGGGTTTCTGAATTTGGTAGTTACTACACCTTCTTGTCTGTTCAATGCTCAAGTTCACAGGCAGCATCCAGTGAAGTCAGTTTGCAGAGAGACAGCATTGCAAGCTCTTGTGATTAAACTTCTACGTTACAGATATGACCCATCTTAAATTACTCCTCTGGATTCATTGCAGTAAGTATTAACTTCAGTGGGCTTTAGCTCAATGTGTACAACTAACCATTGAATCATTAAGTTTGGAAAAAAGCTCTAAGTTCATCCAGTCCTACCATCCAATACTGCTTTCTAACCACATCCCTGAGTGCCACATCTCCACAGTTCTTGAATACCTCCAGGAACAGTGACTCCACCACCTCCCTGGGCAGCCTGTGCCAGTGCACCACCACTCTTTCTGAGAATAACTTTCTTCTAGTATCCAACCTGAACTTTCTCTGGCAGTGCTGCATGGTGTTTCGGCTTCCTTCTCTGGACTGATGGAAGAGAGTTGCAAGATCAACTCAGACATTCATCAATGGACACTTCTAATTTCCAGATATCGAGCATGAATAGCATTATATGTGGATACTTGGATTATTTTGGTTCTCAGAGCCCTTTGCTACTTTCTGTTTGCATTCAGGTTATTCAATGAGATAGTTTATTTCTTATCAGCTCTGCTAAGGTATAGCCACCCTGATTTTTTTCCCAAGTATTCTGTGGCTTTTTGAGTGACCCCTTTTCTTTAAATAATGAATACTTCTCCCCTCAATTGGGGACTTGTCTGAGATTGAACACAGTGTGAGACCAGCACCTAAAATCTCTACTGTTAACTGTTAAGTCCTCAGAGCTGTCCAAAGAATTACATGGCAGCACATACCCCCCACTTCTAAACAGCAACAAATGTTGAGCAAGAAAGATTTGAGAGAGCTAAATTATCTTGTTAAATTAACTGGAACATTTTAATTTTTACTAGAGTTGAGTGAGCTTGAGTAAATATGACGAATTGGAAGCTCACTTCATTTAGCAGACATCAAACACACACAGAATGTTGCCCAATTTAATTTAGCCCTGCCAAGCCAGGAAAATGCTTGTGTAACATCAGTGAACAAGAAAAGAGCTAAAATTTACTCTCAGTTGAGAATGCCTGCATAAATTCTCTTGACATAAGCTGGGGTTCTATATGTATATGTGTATATATATCATAAAGCTTGCCTAAAGGAAAATCCTCCAAATACCTGCAACCATAGACAATTTGTGCTCCTATGAGTTATTCCCAATGAAGTCAGTAATAGCATTTCCTATTGTTCTAAATGGAATATATAAACTCCTGTCTGACGCCCCGAGGTTTATCTCCTTTTCCTCTACTGTCTCTTATCAAACACATACCGGCACAGTCACTTGTTCAGTCATGCTCAGTGGAGTGGCTGTTTCTTTCTTTCTTTCTTTCTTCTTTTTTTTTTTTTTTTTTTTTTTTTTGGCTTTATACCTTGAGCTTAATGGGCACATTTTGTGAAGAGTGAGCCAACCAGGTAAATAGCTGCTACTATGGAGCTTAAAAGCTACAGTTCTCAAATTAGGAGATGCTTTTTGTCAAATAGGCCTCTGTAGCTCTAATATTAGTAACAAAACAAGGGCTTTTCAGACAAGAAAAAAATCTTTAGTCTGACTCTGTATCACACTTAACTCTGTTGCCTTGTCAAATATGTCAATGTTCATATTATACAGCGGCATTCATCTGTGGATGCAAAATTGCTTTACAAGTATTACCTCTTGAATAGTTTTAATTTATACTTAACAACCAGTTCTACAAGATACTACTCAAGAAGAATCATGGCGAACTATTTTAAAAGTTAGTATAAATAAATTATAGTGATTTATTTGCTTTCCTGTTGCTCCTTAGAAGAGTGAACTCCAGAACAATGCTATCAAAACATGCTTCAAACAGCTTTTTCTCTGTTCTAATGTCATGTCCACACATGTCCACAAAAATTTGTTTGTTCTGTTCCAGTTTCAGCTTCTCTACTGCTTTACTTTGTAAGCATCCTCCAGTAGAGCAACAGGAATGAAGCATGCAGGAGCTGGATAATGCCCAAGTTGGGGCATTATGATCTTGTGTACATTCAGTAGGCAAAAAAATCATCCCTTTTCTCCAACTTGTTTATGAAGTTTTATTACTTTTTATATGCTTCAAAAACATTAGCTAAAAACATTACTGAAAGAGTTTCTCGTCTTGGGGATATGCAACTTCTGATTGTGTTTTAAGGCACTTTTATTGAATTTTTAAGCAAATTTGTTTTGAGCACACTCTTGAATTTTATGTTTTCTGAGGACAATGCTGTAAGTCTGCATGGAGAAGGGAGATGTCACAGACATATACTGTGAGTTTTGAAGTGCTCTAGGATGTCTCACACCGTTACCTCTCTGGAACCAAAAATAGCAAATTCCTTACTTGACAGCTGATAGAAAACTGGACTTTAGTCATTTGTTATCTTAGTTTATCAGTTAGCTTATTAGTTATCAACTATTAGATTTTGTGAGCATCCCTTTTGCTCAATATGCATGTAAGAAAAGTTATTATTCTTGTGTTAACAGAAGGAAACACTGAGGTAAAGAGAAACGAAGTTTCAGGGAAGCTGTCTTTGGTGCTTCTGTTCTTGTGTTCCTGATGGAAGTGTTCTGGATGTTGAATATCAGAGTGGGCATGTGCTCGCAGAGCTGATCTGATATATCTGATACTTAGAAAATCTGGATTTTGGAGTCCAAAGCTGAGTTCCCAAACTGAAACATTTAAGTCAGAGGCACTTGTTTTTGTCAGGGAGGTGTGCACAGAGGCACCAAGTGGGAAGGCATTTGGACTGTTCACCAAGGAGCAGTTGAGCAGCGTTCTGTTGGACCACTGTTAATCTTGCTGGTGATTTGGTAAGAGTGCTTTTGTGTGCTGCAAAAGCATAGGGCCTGTGCTTTCATCTTCTGAGACCCACTTGCTGTTTTGGACTGGCTTTATTTTTGGTCTTCTTTAGGATAGTATTTCTGCAGATAACTGAGTGGTTTAAGAAAGCTCCTACTCAGATACTTAAGCCTAAAATAATTAGATGTGTTTCCAGGGTGATGTTTAAACATTGGTCTTCTATTTTTTGAAAGCAGAGGACCCAGACCCACCCCAATACTCCAGGTTATGTCCTGTCTTATGGACTACTACAGAATCACTAACAGCATCGCACACAAAGGCACCACGGGACTCCCACCGTCACCAGAGCTCTCCGCCTGCCTCTGGCGCTGGGCTGTCAGAACCGCTTCAGCTGAAATCAAGGTAAAGAATCAGCAGCACTAAATACTGCAGGACAAAGGCATAAACTAGCTTTGTAACCCTGGGCAACCTGGATGTTTGCTGACTGACAGTGTGAATGACAGCACAGTTGTCAGTCTAAAATATCATCCTCTAATCATTCCAGATGTCACCCGACAAGATGATGGCTACTAAAAAGGGGAATAATTTGGGAAAACTCATAAAGCCCATTATCTCCTGCTGAAACCATTTCTCTTTGCCATTTCTGAAGTCTCTGCAAAATAGATCCAGAATCCTGTATGTAGCACTCGACTGCTTTATTAAGAGAGAGCACTTAGAACTCACAGAGCACTGCATTGCATTCCTGGGGAAACCCAGCTCCAAGCTATGTCACTTTTTCAGGTCTTGACAGGTGATTCCAATCTGTCCATGTAGCAAAGGAGAAATATTTCACCTGTTCCAAAATACAACAGGAAGCAAAAAGCGGTTGATGCAGTTGCTCGCATGCACAGCTTGGGAAATCAGACAGAGAGGCATCAAAGTGCAGTTTCTGGCTAGGATTCTTATTAATATTTTTTCCCCTTAATAAAGAAAGAAACATCTGAAGATGTTGTCAAGGCATTTCAATTCTTGCTTCATTTATTCAATTGCATTTTAATTTCAAAATGAAAGCTAGATTCTAAAGTTCTGTCTGAAGGCAAGGATATACATAAAGGGAAAATAACAAGTAAAAGGAGAGAATCTCTTTCCAAAAGGGTGGCAAAACATAGCAGAAGCATGGAGGAGGGGAAAGCAGAAAAGGAAGAGAGAAAATTACACCTAATGTTTTGCAGGCATAGCCTGAAAGTCGGAATATAGTTTGTTGAAAAAGAACTGTAAGGAACCTTAAGCTGATTAACTGTAACTGGCTGTATTAATGACATAAATTACATCTGGAAGACTTCTATTGATCACTATCTAGAAGGAGATTCCAGCCGGAAAATTCTCTATCTCATTCCTATCAACTATCTCAAGGAAATGCAATGAAATAGAACAGCCGAAGTTTGGCGAAGAAAGGGAAAGTTTAGAGCAACTGTTAAACATCTATGTTGTGTGGCTGTATTGGGCCCAGTTCAGCCATTTGCACTCATACTGGCTAATAACTCCAATTAATTTCAATGAATGCAGTGGAATCACTTACATAGTAATAAAATTGGGAATAATAAAGGCACAAGGATGTAGTAATTTGTCTTAATAATTTCAGATTGCTTGCTAATTCTAACACAGGCATTGTAATTACGGGAGGCACGGAAGAATTCAACCTAAGAAAATGTAGATTTTTTTTTTTTATCAGTTGTATTTCTATTAGTATACCCTGAAAGTAGTTTGTTTCTGAACTGCTAAGTTGCCCTTGCCAAAACTTCACTTTTTTTTTTTTTTTTTTTTTTTTTTTTTTTTTTTTTTAATGTGGTAGTTACTTTCTCTTCTAAATTGTATCTGGAACATAGCAACAAACGTCCAGTTACTTAGGTGTACATAAAATCATTTGAAACTATGAGCCCCGTATGACTCTATTGAGATGGAAAGTCTGAAACATCAGGCTGCTAAGAAGTGAAAATAACACATATTGAAAAAAAGTCTGCAGGAAACTAAAAAGCCATTTTAGACAGTTGATTATTAAATTTATTGTTTTATAGTGTAAATTTATTTCCACTGCCAGTGGAAATTTTAAAATCACTTTTCTTCCCTCTGATATTTCCACCACTTGTTTCTTTTTCTTTTGCTTATATCACTAGAACTATAGATCCAATGAAACTTGTTAAAGGAGCTATAGGGCTGGCTTACATTGGTTGTTGATTTTCTTTTACGAAATTTGAAAGAAATTTGTGGAAACAATGCTGTTAGGTATCTTTCTCTTTGGAAGGTCATGCCCTTAACTATGAATTTGTTCCTGTTACTATGTCTTTGTGTGTTGTGCTTTGAACAGGCTGATGTGCATATCACTAAGTATACAAATTGCATCTGCCTATGTTTCTGCAGGATCAACGACTCAGTAGCCTTCTAATCACAAAGAAGTAAAATGAAAATAATAATGATTTTAAAAATCACAACTGAAATAATGATAATTAAAACTACATTGCAGTTAGTTATACCTTGAGGCTGTGCAGCTAAACTTAGGTAACCTTTAGATCAACCCTTGGTGGCTGAGCAATTGCATGGTGCATTGTGGTTCCTTCTCTGGAGTTATAAACTTCTCTGTGTTGGTCCTTGGGCAAGTATAGTGCAGTGAATGCTATTCCAAAGAAGTTCCTCATATTCTTTCTTCTCATGGATAACCATTTCCGTTTTGTCCCTTACTATACTGGTGACAGGTTAGTAAGCATAAAGAGAGGGCTGTGAGAGCGCTACTGGCCTACAGCAACCTCTGCCAAAGGAATACTCAAGCATGCTGCGTAGTGGTGGTTGGGAAAGATGCAGCCAGGCAGAGAAATCTCCAAGTATAAGCTGGGTTCCTCTGCTCTTCTCATGTTCCTGCCCCTGGCTGCTGCTGGAGGCAGTACTCTGCTTGAGAGACCTTTGGTCTCACCCAGCCTGGTTGTTCTTCTGCTAAAACTTTTATGTGCTTTGATTTTTCTTCTGTTTTCTCTTGATAGGTAGATTTCTAGAGGATAAAAGGGCCGGAAGAAAGTTTCTTATCTCTTTTCATACTTCTATAGTTCGTATTTTACAGTCTGTTCACTTCCTAGAAAGAGGAAAGAAAATGTAGATGATGAGAACAAATATTGTGGCATCCCTGCCTGCCTGAGGCTGGTAATCTAGTCAGTCACCATCCCAGCCTCACATCCCAGTTCTCCCAATGGTTTCGGCAGCATTTCCTGCAACTTTGGTTGATGGATATCAGAACTGATAGAGAGTTATGAGAAATGAGTTGATAACCTTGCAGTCTGTCTGCATTTTTCCAGGACTTTGGAAATTTTATCCAAGTTTCCCATAAAATAAGGTTTCTGTAGAACAAGTTGGAGAGAAAATGTTTTGCAGGTTCTCTGCTAAAAATCTATTTTAGAGAGTTCTTTTCTGATTCTGAAAACAAATTTGCTATGGAACAATGCTTTCTTATGTTGTATTTATTGTGGGAATTCTCAGAAATGCCAGGAAAGAATTATCGCAGCATTGTAGCTGAAATTCCTCACAGTTGTGTGCTTAGCACTTCCTAGTTCAGGCCCTGTGGCAGCATATTCTTTTCCATTCACTTATTGACTCTGTGAAGCTGAAATTAATCTAATCCTTACTATCTATTTGAATAAAACTAAGTTCAGATCTGACAAAATAATTGCATTTATCCTTATGTTTCTTGATTTCAGCCTATTTGTATAAGCACAGTGCACTTCTGTGAAGTTTGGATAGGAATGTACTTGAAGGTGTTACTAAACTAAGTCTTAAGAATGGATCCATTGCTATACTTGAGGGTTTGTTTTTTTTTTTTTTAATTAACTGTTTTTTTTCAACATTACAGCATTGCAGTCCGCATTTTGAGAATAAGCAAGTGCTTTGACTATTTGTTAGCTCCCTTTATATTATATTTTATATTTTAAGGTTAAAGTATGTCTTGATGAAAAAGTATTTGCCTTTATCTGTCCATTGCCATTCTCTCAGTTGCTTTACATAAGAAAAACCTTTCTATTTTGGCTGCATTTTTTCATTTCTCACCACTAAACTTTGCTGTATTTTGCACCATATATCACTTTGGTATTATGCATTAAAATCAGGTTTAAATTTTGACTTATCTTTATTGTATTTTACAAGGAGAGGGATTTTGCATACTAAAATGTTTTCCGTTAGAACACAGCTTTAAAAAAAAAACAAAAAAAACTAAAGTAACTGAGTCCATACTTTGTCTCCTTGAAACATACTCTCCTGAGAATGTTTTGATAGAATGGCATACATTTGGTTACAATTAGTAAGTCAAACAATTTGCCATTGTTATCTCACTGTGTTTGTCTAGAGCCTGTAAGGAGCTTTCAAAAAATATCCATCTCTATGTTTCAGTTAATTGACTGCATGTTCAGCAGCATTATTCTGTCTTATAAAACTCCCCCTTCTCTTAGTTTAATCATAGAGATTTGAAACTAAGGCATGTGGTAGAAAGCAAAAGGGAATACTGGCACAGCTAAGCATAAGGATATATTGTACTTCTATAAAGGGTAATATTCCCATGTGTGGGGAAAAATACCGATGTATTCCTGCTACTTCTGAGTGCAAGATGTTGTACCCGAGGGCTGAAAGTAATAGTTGCTGGTGTGAAAGTATTCACCAATATCAACTGCAGATGAATGCTCTTGGAGCCAGCTGAAAACTGAGTTAATCATATTTTAGCTTAATATTTGAACATGACGTCTGTTTGGAATAATAAATAGTAATGTTTAAGTTATTCAAACTTTATTAGCAATGTAATTAAAAGATTCAAATCTCTATCACACACCTCTGCTATGTTGTAATTTGTTTTTTTTTTTGTTTTTTTTTTTGTTTTGTTTTGTTTTTTTTTGCAATTTTGCATGTAATTTGCAATTTCACTTCTGCTTTTATATATTAGCTAAAATGCATCTTTCTCTGCGGCATATTTTGCTTTCTAAACAGATCATGAAAAGTCTTGGCTAAGATAACTATACGCATTTTTAGAGAGATGTTTCTTGGCAAGTACATCCCATGTTGCCACCAATTGTTTGGGTTGTTACTTGATTAAGGTGGCTGTAATGTGAATTAGTGACCGTGTCACAGAAGTTCTCTGTGCAATTATTACACACTGGAATCACTGCAGTGCTGATTTTTAGGCCTGATAATAAGACCTGGTGGTTCTGTGCCTTTAATTTTTTGGTGGTGGTGGGTTTTTTTACACTTTTATTGGACAAACTGCTGATCACAATTCCTGTAACTGTAGCTTAAAGTTTTCTTTGGTAGCGAAGAAATGCAAAACTTGTGGTGCAGTTCCACTTGATAAATCTGCCTCTTTGTGAGTCTCCTGCATCTTTCGCTGGTACAGTCACACTACTTTTATGAACTTTTGGTAGGATTGGTCAGTATTGAACTGAAAAATTCCCTTTTGAGTTAAATAAAGCAATCCTTGATCGAAGAGCAGTTTAAATTCAATTTAGTTCACTACTGAGTGACTTTGTTGGAGTGAACTGGAAGCCAGTAGGAATGTTTGTTCAAAGGTTAACTTAACCTTCCCCAAGGTTGTAACAAACAATGGAAGATCAAAAGCTTTTCCAAACTCTCGCAGCTTTTATAGATTTGAGTCAATGTCTTCCCTCTGTAAAGAAAGCCTGTTCAACATACTTAAACTCATGATACAAATAATTCTTTTTTGTCTCTAATCGTAAACATAATTTGTCTGGTGTTTCAGTTCTTTAGATTTATGCAGTAGCCATGTTTGTCAAAGTATTTGGCACCGGTGACATCATCTTTGTTGAAACGCCGGACGGCGTGATGAGTCCCAGATGTTAATGCACACTGAGAGTCGAGAAAGAATAAAATTCAAAGGTCGACGCTAACAACTATGGAGGTAATGAAAGGTGATTTTATTTTCTTCTAGTGTTCAAATATAATTATTTGTATTTGTTTGATATTTGTTTGCATAAATAATCAGGGACCGAATACTCTGCACGTGCAGTACAAGGAGAGACTAAGATGCGAATTTGGATGAATGCTGAACGAAGGATTTGCCTTCACGACTGCACTACTTCCTTTGTGTTGTTTTCTCTATCTTTTACATTTCGCATGATTAGATTATAATATATGCCAAATATGTGTACTGAGAACCAAATGTGCCTCTGACTGAACTGCCAGGATTTAACGTGTCTTTTGGATAATGGTCATGCATGGTTATGTCAGCACATCATGTTTTCTAATGTACTGTAACATGACATGCCCACGTAACCGAGAGTTAAGTTTCCTAATGACATATCATTTCTGCAAAATGCAAAAAGGATGTGACTTGCTAAGAATCAGGCTTGGAAATGGAAAAAAAAAATATAATATAATTACTCTGTGCACAGTTTTTCTGTTTCCAAAAGTAGTTTTCATGAAAGTATGTTGTAGGTGCTTTGAGGGGAAAAACAATCGTAACAGTATGTAAGCATTGTTTCCTGTTAACTGCATGCATGGTCAAGTGTTTCCTATTGCATGCATATGGTAAAGTAAGCATTAAAAAATAATGTCCACCTTGAGCATGTGTAAGTAAGCTGTGTAAAATTGACCTGACCAATATTTCCACGGAAGATCAGGCCTTACTTTCACATCAACAATGAATGCTTTCTTACAAGAATTTTGCTTCCTGGATCCTAGTCAGTGTCACAGTGGATTCCCATAGCCACAGTTAAAAATTTGGCTCTGAAAATGATTGTTCAGTTTTAGAAATTGTTTTCTTAATTTACTGAGTAGTTTTTCAGGTCTCATAGGTGTTAAGACAAATTGTGTTAAAGCCACAGAGAGGAAGAGAAAAATTACAGCTTTCATATTGGAAGATTGTATCCTATAAACATGAACAATTAGTTGGATGTGTACAACACATGTCACTGCATTATCTTAAAGAACTTCACATCAGAAAAAAAAAAAACCACCAAAACCAAAATACATCAAAATAATTGTCATTGTTACAGCTCTTCTTAGGAGACCATTCTTCATTTGTTTAGTTGGGGTGAAATTTTTGAAAATACTTGACATTAGCATCAGTATATTTCTATTAAAACAGTCTGAGATATTATCAAATGAAATCAAGAGAAAACACTACAGTTATGTATGTGAAAATTCCTAGGGCTGTAAATGTGAAGCTGCAGTAAGATGGCATTGATGCTGCTAAGTACGGGGGGTTTATTTTGGAAGTATTTCAATTTCTCTTGCATTTCCTTTCAGATTTCTTGGTAATATGGTAATAAATGCTAAAAATGATCAATTTACTTTTTTTTTTTTTTCCTGTTTACAGGAGTGCACTCACTTTACATTCTGGGGTACATGGATGAATACGTGTTTTTTTACAACGCATCCTAAAGCTGTTAAACCTTAGAGGTAAGTCTTTCAGATACCCTTACTAAAACCAACCTATCCACAAGATTTTGCTAGATTCCATTTTCAAAATACTTATGTCATTTCAGAGTCTAATTCGCAGTTCTGAAAGAAGCTGGGATGCTCAGTATATTAGATCTCCCTGACCTTCAAAGGGACATCTGAGCATTTATGGTCAGACACTGAATATAAGAGGAGCCCAGTCGGATTTTTTTTTCCATAGTGCTTCATCACCTCAGTCCCTTTGAAATCACTTTAAACATTTTCCTTCAATTTAAAAAATGGGGCATGGAGTTCTAAATCATATGTGTACTTATGAAAATATTACCTGTAATTTATTTATACCTTGTAACTACCCCAGGAAAAATGTGTGTTGTGGATGGAGTGCTTTAGTAGAAAGTGTGTTCTATGAGTTTGGGGACAAATCTTATTTTTTGTCACTAATGTGTCATTTTAGTCGTTATTTGCTGAGCTGTGTCATTAGAAATCTAGGTCACGTAGGCCGTGCTTGAATTACATATCAGATGACCCAAATGTTTAAGGCAAGCTGGTGTAATTCAGCATCATTTTAAGCAATTTATGCCACTGAAGATCAACTCCCTCAAAGTCCTGCATCTTCCTGAGTGGAATTACTTCACCTTCTCAAGTCTTTTCTTACATCTTCTCATATTAGTCAGGACCCCCTGCCTTCCCATCCCTGGCTTATCTGACTGGCTGGTGCTACTGATGCAATTACTGTCTCCACATACAGTCTTTTATTGGTTTTAAAACCTGAAACACAAACATACCCGTTATAGATAGTGTGTGGAAATACTGAAGGAGAAAATTGCAGGGAGAAACAAAAAGCAGAGAAAACTTTGCTGAAGGGCAAGCAAAAGGTACCTGTTTGTTGCATACATTTGGGATAATACAGTAATGTCATGTAATAAAATACCACACAATGTAATATATTTTTCCACAATTTAGTGTTATTTGCTGAACAATTAACATGCATGCAAACAGAGCAGCTAGCTTTGTCAGCTGTGTCTTCCACTTTTCTTTTTCACTTTTCTCTCCACTTCCCAGCAGACACTTTCCTTTCTGTTCTTAATGCCAGAAAACTGTGCTGGTAGAAACCAACAAATGTGTACTGAAGTGATTAAAAGTCATATTCGGAGCTATTGATCACACCCCCAGCAAGGTCTTGCAGGACCATTGCATTACATGCCAAAACCACGTTACCAGACTCTCCACTAGCACAGTCTTAGCGCAGTGGCTTTTTTATTGGTTTTGGTTAAAGTGGAAAACCATTTGCCAGAAGCCCTGCATGTGATGTTGAGCACAGGTTTTGCAGCTGTCTGTGTAATTCTGAGAAAGGTGAAAAACTGATGACTTGTGCTCTATACTGCCTGAGTCTGATTTTTTTTTTTTTTTTGGTTTTGTCTAAGGTCACCTTATATTTGTAGATCTTGGAGAATTGTCATGAATATTTATGATGGCATAAAAAATCAAGCAGCTGCAAATTGTTTACAATATTCTTAAGAATGTGAAACCAGCTTCTACTGTAAAACAAATGCATCTGTTAGAATTGGACTAAAACTGACAGCTCTGCTTCTGCCTTTTCTTCTGTATGGACCTGAAAGTTGGAAAATTTTTAAATCACTAATGTGTGCCATCAAGATGAAAGGTAAAAGCTGAATAAAAGTACCAAATTAATCATTCTAAGGATTGCACAGAGAGATACTTTAATCAAATATTCATTTGAAATAGATACAAAATCCACAGAACTTTGAGGATAATTCCAAATTACAGAATTGTAGTCCATTAAAAATGTTATCAATTTATGTTTTTCCTTGCCTTTGGAAAAACAAATACTTCTGTAGCACAACTGCTCAGTTGTGCATACTCAAAAAAGTGTACATTAGAACCCTACCGCACAATCATGATTTACAGTCTGCCACTGATTTAATAGCTAGCTGGAAAAGTACATCAAGAGAAATAGCAGTATCTTTATTTAGGCAGCAGTAATCAATTCTAAATTTTGGCACTGGTGGTAAGATGGTATTTAGGTTGCATTTATAGCATAGAGACCCCAAAACATTTGGGTCTGTTCAAACTGGAGGAATACTGTGTGTGCTATAGATGAGCCGCTATAGATGAGGCACTCTGTTTCCTGAAATAAATGTCTTGCATGAAAGGGAAAACTGTTCATCTGTTAAGACTATGATGATTTTCAAACTTTCCCTTGCCAAGCACTGCCATCAGCAACAGTGGTGACAGCAGCCTCAGCCTGCAGCTCTACAAGGGGTCACAAGTCACATTGCAGACACTTGCGTACCACTTGTGGTATGTGGAGTGCAACTTGGGAATGCCTGTGTTGGAGCTCATAATCCATTTAAATACGACTGTGCTAATAAATAAAGGATCCAATTTAGAGACTACAGTTTCATCTTACCTCTCTTTAGGAGGCTTCAAATTATCTGTATTTGGTTTCTCCAGTTCTTCCTACCAGTTGAATGTTACTTGCTCTGTCATTCAGTATTTCACTGAAATACATTCAACTCAGAAAGTTTAAGATTTCAGAGTAGATCTATGAAAGATCTATATGGAAAGAAGGCTCCCTCTGCTTTGCAGGAGTATCTTTCTCAACTGCTATATAGTTTACTCTGCTCAATAAGCTGAACAATAAACTCCCTTTGTTTTCATTCATCCTTTTTTCTTTTTCCTTTTTATTTTTTTTCATTTTTTCCTTTTTCCCTATTTTTTTCCCTTTTTCCCCTGCTTGCTTTCTTTTCTTTTTCTTTTCCTTTATTCCTTTTCTTTTTCTGCTGTCCAGCGTTATACGCTGTCACAGAGTATCAGTCCCTGTGCAGCACTGCATTACAATTCAGTGAGGCTCCTACAACCAGCATGCAGGACTTCATCAGAAGGCAAAATGCTGTTCTGAGAGGATAATAACAATGAGAAATTCTTTTAATAAGGACCATTTTTAAATGTTAAGGATGACTTGTTTTAATTGAAGGAGAGGAAAGGAAATCCTACCAAGAGTCAAAGAGATCCCCTAGAGCTCTCTGAAGTCTTCAAATTGTCTAGTATAGAAAAGCCCAAGAATAAGCCACGAACAGAGGTTGTGAACAACCATCTTACTATAAATCTCATCTGGTAAGGTTATTCTTATCTGCAGTTGAAAATCTGGCCTTAGCTTAAATAAGATACGTGACCATCCTAGTAACTGCAGGCAAATCAGGAGAGACTAATTTGATGGACCCAACTTGTCCTGGATTTGTGTAAGTAGAGATGGAGAACAATTGCCATTCAAACCATTCTTTTCAATCTACTATACAATATCCACCTGTTCTGACAGCAGCAGGAACTTATGCCACAAATACAGGCTACTACCGTGACAGCAGCAGGTGTATGGCAGCAACGACTAATCAAATCAGCTGAATCAGAGGTGTGAATCACATTGCACTTCTGCGCAGTGAAAATGAGCAGAAGGGGAAGAGCTAAATGACAGTGATTTTTTGTTTTGTTTTATTTTTAAGAACTTGTTTTTTAAAAAGGCTGTACAGCAGGTAAGTGCAAGGAAAAAGTAATGAGAAATTCAAAGGAAAATGACATTTCATCTTTGTTGCAAAGGCCGTGCAGAGAGATAGGCACAGGAGACACTGATTTTAATCATTTCAAAAAAAGCAAAGCATAGGTTTTGATTTTCCTAAGGAAGCAAATGCAAAAGAACTCTTGTCTGTACCATATGACTCATGATGCTTCTTTACCAGGCTTAAAGAGAATTGAACTTAAGTAATAGCACCATTAGAGCTCTTTACCAGGAGCCAATTCCTGTGGTTTCACTGGGTCCAGCTGCTGATGACTCACAGAGGAAGTGGTGGAGATTAGGTGCACAGGGAAAAAATCAGAACAGTTCAGAAATAAAGCAAATCAACCAAGCATTACCTTTTGTGCACAACAGAACAATGGCTTAACAACTAAGGTTCAAAATGATCCGTCTTATTCCCCTCATTTGTGCTATTCCTGTTGGAAAGACCACCAGGAAACATGTGAACCACTGTGGAATACACACTGTAATCCGTGGAACATCTCAATTAATATTCCCTCTTGACTACAGCTAGAACAATACATAGCATCAAGCAGTTTAATCTCCGGCAATAATGCCTTTTGTGAGATCAAGAGGTCTTTCCCTTGAATTAAGTTTTAAGCAAGGATTTTGAAAATTAGTTAGGTATTCTGCATAATGTATAGTGGTGGCTGCAGGTTCCGTAAGTAGTAGCTAGGTAAAACTGCATAGAAATTAGCTGCTTGTCATTAATAATGTTGCCATCAGTCATTTCTCCTTTTGCAAACTGACACTGGGTTCCCTTTAGAAGAGAGTTAATCCTCCAACAGGATTTGTTACGAGATAATGTATCTCAGATTGTATGAAATTTCAAACCTCTTATATTCAGCTTTGTGCTACAGAAAAAAAATATGTCCCAGCAGCAAAACGTTAAAATATCTAATTTGAAAGGGGAGATGAAGAGGAAGACATTTTTGATTAATTTACTGAAGTACAGTAGTACTGCTGCTCTTGTCTTACATCACCACAGACTCAGTCACAGAGCTCAGGGAGTTTTCTTCAAGGAAATTGCAATTTTGGGGGACTGTAACCATTTGGGGGAGGGGTCCTATCCAAGTTTTTATAAATTGATAAAGTAACTTGCTGCAAAATCCTAAGACTATTTTGACTAAATTAGACTATTTCTTTTAAAAATATTTGAAAAGAATAATGTACAAAGAGCACTGTGGGAAAAGATTATTGCAAGTTTTGCCAGGTCAGCAATTTATCCTCTTTTTTAAGAAGGAATCGGCATAGGATTTAACCTATGTTCCACTTTCTATTTCCTGTAAGGATTGCAGAGGTAAGATCAGCTGGTGATTATACACTGAGATGCATTTTATAAACATTTGCTTTAGTAATTAATGTAAAATGATTCACAATCCTCTCTTCAGAATATTAAGTAATGCAC